ATGGGGGTGTCTATATGTACACCCCCTCAAGTGTAAAAAAGGGGTGTACACATAGCACTTTTCTTTGTGTAATTTATTAAAAGGGGGTGTACATATAACATTGCCCATTTCGATTTCCCAAAATAAAATTAAATATCAACATACATACTGGCTTACACTCTGCAATATCAGAAAGTGGGCCTCACCTCCACAGTACTTTACACTCTTTTCGGACCAGAGCCAAAGAAGTGGTGGGGACTGTGTATGTTTGGGACCGAACGACGTCGTAGCTAATAGTACAAGTTTTACTCTCCGAGTCTCTGTACTAATACTGCTCTCAGTAAGAAAACTGTTGGAGTCAACAGTCTTCCGACACTTCCCAACAAAGCAAAGGACATCCAATTTTTTGAAAATAATAATAATAATAATTATAATAATAATAATAATAATAATAATAATAATAATAATAATATTAATAATAATCTTTTAAAAAATTAGGTTTTTGGAATTTTATGAGAAAACAAGCTAGAAAAGGAAACGAAAAAAGTTTTTGTTTCATCAATCCTAAATTATATATTTGTTAATTGAATTATGATTAAATTGTAATGATTAAAATAATATAAAAATAATTAATTAATAATGGATAGTTAGAAATATGTGAACGAGTGAGTGAATAAAATTATTGTTTTAATTGATGAGAATAAAATGAAATAAAATAAATAGTGTATTTTTTTATTTGAAATATATATTTTTTATAATCTCAACTTAAAAGAAACTATCTTGCATGATGAAAAATAAATAATTTATATCCAATCAGAAGTCATTTTCTTCCGAACTCAACAACATGCTATAGATTATATAATTGTTCCTCCAAAACTCTAAATTAGTTGGTATTGGGCTGGGCCTCCTCTTATGTGAATTGGGCTTATACGCGAGCTCGGACACTGTTCTCAGATTGCTCCCCTTTGAGAAATTTATGCCGCACACTATCAAGATCAATTTTAATTGTATATATACGAACTATATTTTTTATTTACAATTATGCTAAAACCATAATATTTATTTGGACTTGTACCACATTCTTTATCCAACCCCTATCTACCCCTTTTTCTTTCCGTCAATTCTTCTTCTTCTTCTTCTTCTTCTTCTTCTTCTTCTTCTTCTTCCTCTCATCGATATGCGGACACCTATAACTTCCCAATCCAAAATCAAACACACTCAAAATCAAACAGAGAAACACACTCTGTAAGTCATCGTCATTCCCAATTTTTTCCACCTTCATCAACAAGCTTTTTAATCAAATCACAAATCACATATATAACACATCAATACTTGATTTCCGATCAACCCTTTTTCTTCAATTTTTCTTCTTTTTGACGATGAAGCTTCCCTACAGTTTTCCGGCGATGAAGCTTCCCTATAAGATTCGTGCCAAATACGAGAATCGTGCAGGAATTGTAGTCGATCCACGTCACGAACGGCCACTGCCTTATGTGTGAATTGAAATTTCAGATCCCTACTCGCGAATGTTTTAAGGCGGCGTGAGGAGATGAAGGGCGACCGTGACCTAGGGCGTCGATCTCCCTGCTCGCGATTTTCATCTCCACCAGACAGTATATATGCCGTATATATGTAGTATATTTATACCTTTTTTTGTTGTTTGTGTAGTTGCATGTATATATACTGTATATTTTTTGTATATATACTGTTTATATTTTTTTTTCATATACACACTATTACAGTGTATAGTTTGGTTTTTTCGTATGAAAGATTTGAATTGAAAATTATAAGGATCGACATATTGTATATTTGTCGTATATATATTGTTTATATTATGTATATTTTTTGTATATGTTGTGTTCTCCACCATCTCGTTGACCAGAAAATGGACGACGCTGCTTATGATTGACGCTACTCGTGATGGACGACATTGCTTGTGATTGTATAGTTCGGATTTTGTTTTTTTTTTTTTATTAATGAAAGAATACTGTCAGTTACGTGAATCTTATGATGGGAACTGTTTATTATTTGTTTGACAGTAGTTATCTAAATAATTTTGTTAAACTAGGCATATTTGCAAATAAATTTTTATTTTTGTATTTATGCAATTCTTTTAAATTCTGACCGTATAAATGCAAATTGCCCATCTCCTTTTGGGTGCATTCTTTAACAAACACATGACCCCAACTCCTTAAACAAAGGGTGTCCTTTTTGGATTCTGCCACTACATTGACCCTTGTTTAGGAAAAAACTATACTTTAACTCACTAACTATTGAAATTTTTGCACTCTACCCATACAACATTTTTTTCTTGACATTTTGCTCATATAACATTTTAAATAATTACACTTAACCAATTTCCAGTCATCATCTGGCAATTTCTAAAGACAAATGTCAATAAAAAAAAGTTGAGTGAATAAAATGCAAATAAACATATAGGTGAGTGGGTAAAGTATAAATTTTTCAATGACAATTAACTTACGAATGATTGAAAAGTCAAATTTGCCCTTAGAAATTTCTAACGACGGCCGGAAAATGGTTAAGTGCAATTTTTCACAAAATTATATAGGCAAAGTGTGACCAAAAAAAAGTTGAATTGATAAAGTGCAAAAAAACCCTATAGATAGGTGGGTTAATTGTAGATTCTCCTTTAATTTACCCATTAAAATTTGTGAAAATAGCTATTTTCACCCCATTTTGAAGTCCTGCTAAGTTTTTCACACCGTCCAATAAAAAGCTTAAGTTTTTCTCCCCAGAAAGTTCAAAAGGCATTGGGCGATGAATATGCGACAATTGCGCGATGATATTGTGTGAAAGTTAAAAGTGCGAAGGCATTCGCATATCCTTCACACTTTCTGGGATGAAAAAAGTTAAATGTGCGAAAGACAATGTGCGATGAATATGCGACAATTGCGCGATGACATTGTGCGAAAGTTAAAAATGCGAAGGCATTCGCATATCCTTCGTACTTTCTGGGGTGAAAAAAAAGTTAAAGTGCGAATGCGTTGTGTTATGAATATGCAACAGTCAAGGCTGAGCACGAGTCTTGGAGATTACCGAACCGTACCGAAAACCGAACCGAATTCACCCCGAACCGAAAAATATCCGCTGACCGTTTGACTATCTCCGAACCGAACCGTACCAAATTGTTTTTTTTGGTACGGTTCTGGAGATTCATAAAATATCCGTACCGAGAACCGAACCGAACCGAACCGAGGAACCGAACAAGAAACATTTACAATCATAAAATCCATATATATATATTATCTTATTTTATTATATGTATTTTTTTACACTTTGTACATAATTTTATTCAAATAAATCTATATACATTATGTATATGTCCATAAAACTACCATAAGTTATATGTCAAATTGAGTTGCGAAAAATCATCCACTGTTGAATGTTAATAGAATTTAAAACCTAAAAAAAATAATTATTTTATTTTGGTACTGACACTAAAATCTAAATCTAAAATATTCTTTTATTTAACAACTATATGTAAATTGATTATTGTTCATGTACATCTTATCACATGCAGATTTTTTGGCATATAAACGTTTATCATATAAATATTTCAAATTATATTATGATATTTTGCAACTTAAACATTATTATTATCACTTTTTGTATAAAATAAAAAATACTTTAACCACCTATTCTTACTATTAATTGACAAAATATCTTTTGAAATTAAGATAGGTTTATGATTTGCTTTCATCCATGATATGTACCATCTAACACGCAATTAAGAGATTTTATATAAAAAAAAAAATGAAAAAATCTCCGAAATCTCCGAAATATCCGATCCGTACCGAACCGACCCATTGGAACCGAATCTCCAGACCGAACCGAACCGAAATTCAGTTCGGTTCGGTCCGGAGATTTGTTAGGACCGGTTCGGTTCCGAAGATCTGGTTTTTCAAATCTCCGAAGTTCGGTTCGGTTCTGGAGATTTCTGGATCTCCGAACCGAACCGACCCGTGCTCAGCCCTTGCGACAATTATGCAGTACATTCGCATAACCTTCACACTTTCCAGGGTGAAAGAATTAGATTCTTAATAGACAGTGTGAAAAACTTAATATATCTTTGTATTGAGGGTGAAAAAGATTTTTTCTCTTCAAATTTTGTATCTAAACGAATATTTGAAGTATTCCAACAACCAATATTTCTACAGTAAAANAAAAAAAAAAAAAAAAAAAAAAGAGAACTGACAGTAGGTCCAATGAGAGAAAAAGAAAAGCTCGTCTTTTCATGTGACATAAAAACCCTCTCTAACTCCACATTACATTTTTCTACTGATTCAAATTTCACTTATTTTAGGCTTTTTAGCCCAAAAATAAAAAAAGGAATTAAAACTAAAAAAATGGTGAAAATGGTGTGGCTGCTTTCTCTCTTCCATCTCCTCCTCCTGAGGATCTCACCTGGTAAGATTATTAAATTATTATTATTTTTTTATTGGCATTTTTTATTTTATAACCTCAGAAGTCAGAAGAAGAACTTAATAAAGTGCAAGTGTGTAACAACTTTTTTTTTTATTTTTAATTTATTTTTATGTTTTTTTTACTTATTATTCACATAGATTTTTAAATATATGATAAAATTTTATCAAAATTATTATTTTATGTAACCACATTGTATTCAAATTGAATTTCTGAATAAAAATTTCAAAACGACAATTATTTTGAAATGATATAATGTAGTTTAATATCAGTTATTTATATTTTAAATTTATAAATATTATTTAATGAGCATTTTAATTTATAAATCTTAATGAATATCTCTTACCCGTGCATCGCACGGGATTTGTACTAGTTTTTTATAAAAAGGTTATAAAAATTGTAAGAGAAATGTGAATTAGCAAAAATTGAATACACGGACGGATCAACAGGTTTATGTATTGGGAAATTTTTAGCCATACTACGTGATTTTTAATATATTGCAACTATACCTTTAATAACAATTTAATTGTAATTATACCTAATAGATAAAGATTATTTGTATTCATGCCTATAATCAGTTACTTCTCTTTCTCTCTCCCCTCCCATGATTCTTGCGCATCCTCCCATGATTCTTGCGCATGATTACCGGACTTAACATGGGAAGCATAAAATTTGAATTTGAAAAAACAAGATCATCATCGTTTTATTCTGAAAATATACCAGAAAAACTGAGAATTGGGCATCGATCACCATCGTTTTTCCCCCAAAATATACCACAGAAAACAAATGTGTTGTGTCTCTCATTACTTGCTTAATATTACCACAAAATATACCACAAAATATACCACTTTAATAATTTTCTAGTTTATTGTTGCTTATTATTATTACTTGCTCATTTTTCTTGTAGTTTTTTCGTGTTCTTCATAGTTTGGTAACATACAATTTGAATGTGCAATTCTACCAGACATATTTACCCAAAATATACCACAAATATAGCAAGATGAGAAATGAACTTCACAAAGAAATCAGTGCATATACCAAATCATATAACAACATATACCAAAAATAAACCATGGGAAAACATATGTTCAAGTAATGTTAAACATCATACCGCGTTGTTGCAACACAAGTGACAAAAAAAAATATTAATAAAAAATCTAGAACAAAGTCTACGATATATTCGCTCCATTCACATATAAGTTGAATGTTGAATTCTACTAGACAGATTTACCAAAAAAATACCACAAATATATCAACATCAAAAGGAACCTTACAATGATATAAGTGCATATACCAACACATATACCAACATATAACGAAAATATACCATCGGAAAATATTTGTTAAAGTAATGTTAACCATCACACTTTGTTTCAAGCAAAATAGACAAAAAAAAAAAAAAAAAAAAAAA